TAGGCTGGCTCTGCAAGCTGTGAGCGCTGTGCTGGTGGTGCAAAGAACCTGGGACACCACCTGGGCCTTGACCTTGCAGTCGGGTGATGGCTTGCTGCCTCATCATAAAGTCTCGCTGTTGTGCCATCGCTTGCTGTTCCTCCTGCTTCCTTCGCTCGAGGTTGTTCTGCTCCTCCGCGGTCAATGTCCTACCAAAGCTAGGGAAGACACCACTGAGAGGAGGAATGACACCCACGTTGCCGCTGGGAGAGAATGGTCCAGCCTGAGACGGTGGGCCATGGGCGATGCCGATCTGGGGAACCAGGAAAGGCTCGCGAGAGTTTCCGATGCGGCGGATGAGCTGTCCAAGAGGCTCAAACTCGGGGTCTTCAACCTTCTTAACCCGAAGATCGGGAGTGAAGAAGTTGGCCTTGTACCAGTCGTTCATCTCGAGACCACTGAAAGGGCCCTGAACCTGTCCTTGAGGATCGAGATAAACCCAGCGCATACGGTCAGGCATGACCATCTGGCGCACAGGAGTCGACCCGAACTCGCCACCGGTGGAAGCTCCGGGAGTGAATGCTTGGGGGTGGCCGATGCCCGCAGCGCCAGGGTGGTCGGCACCTCCAAATCCGCTATGAGTTCGAGTAGGGTCAGAGGGGAACATTTCCTCAAAGACTCCTCCCCGGCCGCTGCGGAGAGGGCTGCCGGTGTCTCTGGGCGCAACACTGAAGTTATTACGGCCGATTGCACCGAGAGGGTTGCTCTGCCGAAGGTCGGGCAACGAATCACTCAAGTTCTCCTGCTCGTGTCCTTGCATTTGTGCTTGCATGGCAGCTGGGAAGAGAGAACCCAACTTACTGCGGCCAATAGTGCCTGGGCCACCGAGGCCAGCAGCACTAGCCGAGCCGAAGACGCCACCTCCGATACTCGACAATCCTGGAGACTGGAGATCAGTGCCCATAGGACTGAAGAGAGCATTGCCGAAAACTCCGCCGCCGAACCCGGCGCGTTCACGGTCAGGAGTGCCCGTAGACAGAGGGACAGGCCAGCCTGAGGCGTAACCTCTAGGTCCAGCGCTACTGGTCTGACTGCGATCGCTGCCGTCAAAAGCGTGTGTCGGGAAGCCGCGCGACACGGTGCCGAAGCCAGGATTCTGTTCAGCGCCCACAGCCACACCGCCGTGATGCTTCTCACCCGATCCTTCCTCCTGTGATTCGTTTCGGTCGGCCGGCGGGCTGCGATAAGGGTTCGTCTGCGACGGGCTCGCTGGGCCAGGCTCGTTTTCCGAAGGGCGTCCCAGGTTCAGTCCAGACATGCCAAAATCTTGAGTTGAACCTTTGACCGGGGTCTCGAACATCCCAATATTGGTAGGGTTGGGGATCGGCGGGGGACTGGTGTCTCGAGCACCTCCGAGTGCGGCGCTGCCAGATAAGTTGTCGTCTCCGCCGAAGGGGTCGGTATCGGTTCGGGGCCGGGATCGCCAAGATCGGGTTGCTTCTGGGGTCGAGGCTTCATTAGGCTTGATTGCGGGACTGTCGGTGCCTTCCTTGTTCATAAGGTTTGCAAAGCGACTTCCACCACGGTTGCCACCGCCAATAGTCGAAGTTGGAGTTGGCAAAGCGAATTGGCCGAAACTACCCATGCCGCCGCCGCCGCCGCCGCCACCAGCAGCACCCCCGGCCGAAGGAGGCTGAGAAGCTCCCCAGAGAGAACTGATATTGGCACCCATGGAAGGATTACCCGCCGTGTTGCTACGCGTCAGGTTTCCAAAAGGCGGCTTAGACTGAGGCTGTCCAGCACCTTCATCCTCGCCTGGCTCCTGCTCCTTGACGTCGTTGTTCTTGCGACCAAACAGGAAAGACTGTTGGTCATCGCGAGCGAATCGTGTGGCACTTGGTGAAGCGAGGGGACCGCTGCCAAAAGGGTTGGAATCCGTCGTCTCTCGGCGCCGGGTACCAGGTCTAGAGGCAGACGAGGGCGATTGTAATCCGTATCCGGCGGCGCTACCGTGTGATAGCGACGCCTTCCGTCCATTCGGTCCCGGTCCCTGGGTGCCCTCCTGTTTCTGGATGGGAGGCTTCAGAGTAGAGTTGACATCAGATGCGAATGCCTGTCTCATATTAGCATTGTTTACCTGGTGGCCTGCTCCAAATGACCGACGCACCTCCTTCTCCTCTTCAGACATGCCATTGACAGCAACGGGGTTGTTGTCACCCCGGTTGTTCCAACAGGCAGCAGGATCTTGCGAATTGTGGTTATTGTTGGTTTTTCCCCAACCTCGCGCAGCGCTTCCGTTTGTGTGTCCCGGAGTCCATCCCGATTCAAAAACATTGGAAGCGTCTATTTCCGCCGCACCGTTCTTGTACACACCGACAATTGAGTCCTTCTGATACTGTGAAGGGGCAGGATAGTCGTATGTCGCAGCGCCAGGGGTCTGAGGAACTGCGCCGGAGTCGAGCGGTGTAGAGGGGAAAGCGTTTTCGGACGAGGCTGCGGGTTGGGATGGCTGACCGGGCGTCGTCGAGGATCGTCGAAAGGTCAGGGTGCCGTTAACTCTGCCGTCACGTCGAGCCCTGCTTGCGGCGTCAGTACAGGCTCTCAGTCACATCCTAGCCGCGCTGTGCATCCTGATGTCTGGCGATATTGCGACAACGTGGCGAGAACCCAACGAGGTGGCGGTCTATAGAGTCACCATCACCAATATCACGCGAACGCCAACTTTTCTTCGTCATCTCCAGACGCAAACAGGAAGCACAGAGAATAGCAGGGTAGCGATGGGGGTTTGTTGGGCGAAATGGGGAAAGTCACTAACCATTCCCCGCTGCCAGCTCCACGTCCGTCCTGTCGACCGCCTCTCGCGTCGCGGTTGGCGTTTTGGCCGGCGGCGGCCGAGGCGAAGCTTGATGGTAGATTCGAAGGCATGGTTAATTATGCGCAAAGTAGGTATCTGGCGATGAGCAAGTGTCTGGGGGTGTGCAAACAGCGCGCAGGGGTGGTGGTATTTTTTTGGTGGTTCGGTAGTTGCTGATCGATCTCTCGTGGACAGGTCACGAAAGGGATTCTGTAATTGATTTGTGGGTTTGTCGGCGCGCGACTGGCTGTAGATGATGATACACGTGAAGTGATGCGGGATGCAGGTAGCTGATGTCAGGCTTGCTAAACGATGGATTGATCGAGATACCGAGAGGTCGGTTCGCGAGCGTATGCGGTTCGTCGTGCGAGGGTGGGTGAGGAGGGTGAGCTGTCTCGTCGAAAAAATCAAAGGTTTGAAAGGAAAATTGCCAGCTAGGAATGACCCACGATGGTGTGGACCAGGGAGGAACTGTGGGGACGGGACAGCCGCTAAGCCCCCAAAAGGTGTTGCCCGTGGTTTATCCGGTCCCGGCCACACGTTTTTCTGGATGGAAGTACCGGGGAAAGGAAGGTAAGAGCGGATGACGTTGGAGACTTGGCCTTGTGTTCGAGGAAGGTACAGATCAATATTCAGGTACATAATGCTACGCAGCTACTGCCTGTTTTCGTGCTTTAATGCAGTGCTCCTGCTGACTTGTTGCCTTTGTCGTTACCCCTCGCTGCCTTCCACTTTTAATTTGTGATACCCTACCTTACTCCAGCAACTCAAGGCACCTACCTGCCTACCCCAGTGAGGCACACACCTTCCCCAATTGCCAGGCAGGAGCTGTGCTGCAAGACGACAATGACGATAGTTGCATCACGTGCGTCACACGTGACCCCACCCTGGGGCGTCCACACTGACGTTGGACGCAGGGCAAGAGCTCGGACAATTAAGGCAGGGCAGCCAGTCACCCCCATTCAGGGCAGTCCAACCTCAAGCCATCGGGCTTTGCTGCAGGGCTTGGGCTGGGATTCGCACTTGGATCGGATGCTAAAATCTGGCTAAACTTTCCAGGGGTCATCCCCTAGAGGCTCACTGACCTTTTACACTAAACTCGCCTATGTGCCTAAGGTAGCCTCTCATCCTTCTTTTCCCTCTTCAGAGCTGTCGGGTGACGATCAAAGAGATGAGTCGGGTTTCTTGACCAAAGTTGGCATGAAGAGGCAGAATTCTCAATTCCAGGTAGTCGTACCCGCAGAAGAAACCACAACGCAATAAGCGAGGAGGAACACAATCGCCAAAAGGAAGGGAAAAAAAAGGAATGCCACTCATAGCCCAGCCCTTCCGGGTATCCGCATCTCATCCAACACCTTCTAGGCTCTGACCCGTTCGCTCATGCTCATGCACTCACTCACTCACTCACTCAGTCTCCACGTCGCCCGCCTCCTCATCTCATCTCATGTCTCGCGCCCCAGCCAGTCTCACCTCACCACGACTCGCATCCCTAACCCCCTCCATTAGCCTCATTGGCCAAGAGGGTTGGAACAAGTTCAAGGGAGAGTTTAAACATTCTGGTCTGTTTCATGCGGTCAAACGGCATCTTAATGGCATCCGTTTTTGCTCAGGCTCAAAGGAGGAGACGATCACACGCCAGAAGAAAACGAGACGACGTTAATGTTTGGTTGCCCCTCGTTCCTGCGATATTCTCACCTTCCTGGTGCGACGCGCGAACGTCATGCTCGTACGCTGAGACGACCTCATGGTGTTCTCATCAACCTCAACATTACTCAGTCGCCGCAAATAGATTCTCTGAACAGACCTCTTACCCGCAGCCAGTTATTTATTGATATACTGTGAGAAGGTTCCATCTCCCACGTGCCGCAGCTCCCACGCATGCCTTGTCATCTAAACTCCATTCTCATAAGATCTGAATAGTGATCATAATGATTCCCAACATGTTGTATCGGCCGAGCCGGCTCCGACACGCTAGTGTTAGATTGCCTGCCTAGTCATCTCAAACCTGGAAGCTCAGACAGCTCCTTTTTAGACTTTAAGTGCAGTCTTATCACGGACTCTTTCCCCAGCGTTTCGTCTGCACGGTACCAGCTTGTCGAACGACATCTCATCAATTTCAACGACAGAGGAAGACGAGATTGAAGTCATTGACTCGCAACAGTCGAAGATGTCGCAGTCCGGACTGCTACCCCAAGATTTTGCCGACCATGGCGCTCCTAAACGAATGTTCATCGCATTCTTCAAAAGTCGACAAGTGAGGTTCTTCGCACTCTTTGGTGTTGGCCTCTATCTCATCAGGGCATTCTTGTTGGACTCATCCAAACCGGGTAAAGAAGACTACGCAGCCACGAATCCCTGGCGGGACCTCCCGACTGACTCGGCCGTCCACTCAACCATCCGGGAGGTGCTCTTCATCAGCGATACCCTCCGGGACGGCATGCTCCCGACCTCGCTCCCGGGTGATGACTACGACACGTACTCTGCCATGCTACACAATTTGGAGACGCGGCAAGATGTCACTTGGCTAGTTATCCAAGAGACCGGCGTCGACAGAACCATCATGGCCATTGCCAATCGTGGCGGACATCATAGTCCTATCCCAGAGGAGCCCCACGACTTACATGAGCGTGCCAAGACGCTTCACGGTCACTGGTCGGCGCTCGCTGCAGCCAGCGACAAACCAGAGAGATGGGAAGCTCGGTTTGACACGACTTGTCTCCCGCCATTGGCTGCCAGACAAGGCAGCGCATCAGGACAAAAAGCCGGTTCATTCAAGCTGGACTTGACTCCCGCACAGAAAGCAGATGCGGAAGCCAGGTACAAGGCCTATCGCAAGCGCAGGGATCGCGCCGTGTCGTACCTCAAGGACCACCCGCCCAAACCAATGGCCTGGGTGCCGGCGCAAACGGACCCGGAGAAGCAGCGCGGTTTCTGGGAATCGCTGTTCAATGACGGTGTCATCAAGGCCGGACGTAACGTCGAGGGAGGAAAGCTGACGGGCAACCCGGGGTTCAAGCCCGTCTACCGTGATCTCATTACTGAGCGTGTCCCATACGACTGGGTCAACCCGGATGAGCAAGTGAAGGAGTACACTGAGGCGGAACATCTGAAGGAGATGGAGGCCTTCAGGGAAGAGTCCCGCGTCAGAAAGGAGAGGACGGACAAGCAGGCTGCTTACCAGGAAGAGCTCAGAGCCGAGGAGAGACGGAAGCGGGGAGAAAAGGAAGAGCTTTGATGCCTTGGCTCTACCGTTGGCTCGGTACTCATCTTACTACAGCGTTACGAAAATCATCGAATGGCCATTGCTTTCTATCAGGTAGTCGCTAGTAGTTAATACAATAGATAATTTAAGGTGATATCTCCATCCTCTCCCAAGGGCAGCAGCTTCGCCAGGTTACACAAAGCCGGACCTCCCACTACGCCACAGTCTCACTCATCAGCCAACCCTAGCTTCCTCCAAGCCAAAACAAATCACCACCGGGCCACGACGTTGCTCGTCCACAGTCTTAGTAGCCCGAAAGAACGGCACCGATGGAAGCCAGCGCCGGAACAGCCTGGATGAAGAAGATGCGCGGGTTCGCCGTGGCGCCGCCGTACGCCCCGGCCGCGACGATGCAGCCGAGGAAGAAGAGCTGGAGCTGGCGCCCGAACTCAGGGACGGGGTGAGCGATGCCCCAGGCGAGACCTGCGGACAGGAAGCCGTTGTAGAGCCCTTGGTTGGCGGCCAGAGCCTTTGTCTTCTCGGCAAAATCGGCGGTGAGATTGAAGGCCTTGCGGCCGCGGGGCGAGGTCCAGAGGAACATCTCCAGGACGAGGATGTAGCCGTGGAGGCCGGCCATGAGGCCTGCTGCCGTTGCGCCGATGAAGCCCATTCTTGGAATGATGTGGTTATTTGAGGGAGGTGAGGCAAGTGGCTGGTGAGGTATTGTTGGAAGCTTGTTGTGTGGATAGCGAGGGGAGGCTGAGACGGGGGAAGGGCAAGAACGAGCGGAGGTGGGGAAAGTGGCGTTATCGTCGGTGAGGACTGAGGGCTGATGATCGTCACTTGTCTCAGACAAATCTGGCAACAATTGAGTTTTTATCCAAAAATCCTCACATGGGCTGGGCCAAGACAAAATGCTGGAGAAATCAACCTGCGGAACGGAAAAACAAGGAGATCGTGAGGAATTTGGATTGCGCCTCGGCAACACCGAATACGAATTGGGGAGGTCGCGAGTCAGACGCCTTACCGTACACTGGTTACACCGAGGCTCACCGAATTCCAAGTGGGATGCCGAGGACCTTGCATTCGTGGTAGCACATCTGCTGTCTGCCTACTTAACTTCACAGGCTTTTTCGGCATGTGTATCATCCTGAGATGGATGAAATCTCATGTCATCAATACAATTGTGACAGTGTGTTACCTGATTGGATCCTTCTTGTCCCTCCCTAGGCACAGTCCTTAGCAATGGTTTGTGGCTGATCTTCCTTTCCTGCCTTGTATTTCGAGCAGAGCCTCAAACCTTAAGCACTTTCCTGCTACCTCTATCCGGGAGCTCTTTCCGGGTTAATTGCCAATTTAGATAAGCAAAATTCGCAGCGGAAGGTACACGTCTGCTGCAACTGCATTCCGAGTTCGACAACAGCAGGAAGCCACGACCCGCTCTGGGCCATTGGCCAATCAAATATGATTCAGGATGGGAAAGGGCACGTGATCTGCCACTGCCGAAGCAATCATGGGAAGGGGCCCCTTCCTGCGCGGGACGACAGGGGTACGTACAGGGATGGCGACTTCCATCCTTCCAGAGGTGTTCCTGCCCCGCCCAAGCCTAAGACGCGAAGACTAATTGCTTCTCGTCCCGTCGCGTCTCAATAATTACGACTGTCTAAACCGCCACGATCCGCTTAGAGCTGCTTGACGAAATCTAGGCTCGCTCGTGCACAGAACTTCATGAATCAGATTCTCGGTCAACATCACCTGCACTTCGGCCTTAGCTTCTGTAGTGTCGACCTACGGTAGCTTGCCTCACATGTCGACCGCATTGGCTTAGTCACCGTTCACGTCACTCACCACCAATCTTACGATGCCCCGAATCAAGATGGAGGGCGTCAAGGCTGAGCCGCCGAATGCCAACTTGCACGAACTGCCCAGGGTACTCGATACGGTGTTACAGCAGTCGGCAGGAAGTCCAGATCCTTCAGCATCTACCGCAGTCCCATCTTTGGCAACTGCCCAACCCAATGCTTCTCTTCCTCATATCAAGCCTGAACCGGGCTCTGCGGCATTCGTCAAGGAAGAGCAAGCCGACCCCATTCTCAACCCCGCCAACCCACCCAACGAAAGTCTAGCTTCTGTCGAAGAACCTGAGTCACTTACCGCCCAAGATGAAGTCCCCGATTTCCTAGAGCAATGGACAACAGAAACGTCCCCTGAGATCCTTGAACGAGGCGTCAAGATCGGCTTAGAGGTCCTCGAAAGCCTCAAGATTCCCCTCAGCCTCACCGCTTCCCTCCCAGGCACGCAGGCTATGACATGGGTCAGGGCAATTGAGGACCTCAAGGCCCGCTCTCGGCCGTCCAAAACCATTGTTGGTGTCGTGGGCAACACAGGTGCTGGCAAGAGCTCTGTCATCAACGCCCTGCTCGACGAGGAGCGACTTTTACCGACCAATTGCTTGCGCGCCTGTACCGCTTCGCCTACTGAGATCTCCTATAACGACTCCGAAAACCCCGAGGAGCTCTATCGCTCAGAAATAGAGTTTATTTCCGTCGAGGACTGGAAGAAGGAGCTCAAGACTCTATTTACTGATCTTCTCGACGATAGCGGGAACATTTCACACGAATGCGCTAACGAAGATAGCGAGGCAGGCATCGCCTACGCCAAGATAAAGTCTGTCTACCCTAACAAAACAAAAGAGATGATTGCTCAGAGCGACCCTGACCGTTTGGTCAATGAGCCTGCTGTCGCCCGTGTTCTTGGCAGCGTCAAAAAGCTGCGAGCAACCACCGCGAAGGACTTGTACGCAACCATGCAGCGTTATGTGGATAGCAAGGAGAAGAATCCGCACAAGAAGGACGTTCCCATGGAGTTTTGGCCCCTGATCAAAGTTGTCCGGATATTCACAAAGGCAAACGCCCTGTCTACTGGTGCCGTCATTGTCGATCTTCCTGGTGTCCAGGACTCCAACGCAGCTCGTGCTGCTGTCGCACAGAACTACATGAAGGCATGCACCGGTCTTTGGATTGTTGCTCCTATCAACAGAGCCGTCGACGACAAGACAGCCAAATCACTACTGGGTGATTCGTTCAAGCGCCAACTCAAGTACGATGGTATCTACTCGGCTGTCACGTTCATCTGCTCGAAGACAGATGATATCTCAGTGACTGAGGCTGCTGAAAGTCTTGATATTGAATCTGATATCTCTGCTTCTTGGTCCAAAATCGAGAAGCTACGTGGCGAACTTCGAGGGCTCAAGCGAAAGCTCAATGACGCCAGGGAAGAGAAGTCGGACCTCGTCGACAGCCTGGAGCAAATTGACACGCTTTGGGATAAGTGGGACGACCTCGCCAGTAAACATGCGGATGGAAAGACCGTCTTCGCCCCCTCAGAGAGCAAGAAACGCAAACGTGGAGCTACCACATCCAAGAGTCGGAAACGCAAGTCATCTTACTCCAGTAGCAGTGAGTCAGATGATTCGGACTACAACTCGGATAGTGATAAGGAAAACAATCCCGACAGCCAGAACCGACAGCCTTTGACAGAGGATAAGATCCATGAGAAGCTGGCGGATCTGAAGAACCAGAAGAAGGAAATCCGTCAGCGGCGCAAGGAGGTCGATGCCCTGCTCTCCAACATGCGGCAGGAAATCAAGAGCAGTCAGGCAGAGGAAGAGCGGCTGCTTGGGGCAGCCAAGGCGGTGTGTATCCAGGGCAGAAACATTTACTCCAAGGGCGCTATTCAGCGTGACTTTGCCATGGGTATCAAGGAGTATGTCAATTGGGGCTCTCGCCGAAATGAACACATGCTAACTTGCGTAGGCTGGATCAAGAGGCTGCAATCGAGGAAGACGAAGAGACGTTTAATCCCGACGAGGATATCCGTGATTATGACAAGGTCGCCCGCAACCTGCCCGTCTTCTGTGTGAGCAGCCGCGCTTACCAGAAGATGCGGGGACGTTTGCAGAAGGATGATTTCAACAACGATGGCTTCCGGGATGTCAAAGAAACGGAGATTCCTCAACTTCAGCAGCACGCTAAGAAGCTCACAGAAGGCGGCCGCGCTGCTAGTTGCCGTCGCTTCCTCACCGAGCTCAGCCAACTCCTCAACTCAATGAAGATGTGGGCTGCCAACGATGGATCACGGTCTCACTTAGGCCAACGAGAGTTGCAGAGTGAGGGAACCCGTGTACGAATGCAGCTTGCTACACTGGACAATGTGAGTTCCGGCTCATTCTCATGTTATACTCATTGACTGACCCACGGCAGGACTTCGCCAAAGCAGTTGATAACTGCATCGTTTCCGTGAAAGATGCCTTGTCGGAGAGCATCTACGACTACTTTGACCTATCGATTCCTATGGCCGCCAGCGCGGCTGGCCCTACGGCATCCGGCTGGGGTGCGCATCGCAGCGAAGGTGGAATGTTTTGGGCCACATACAAGGCAACATGCCGCCGGTCGGGAGTCTATTCAGGCGCATCTAGTCCTCGCGACTTCAACGCAGAGCTGCTCGAGCCGATCTCCCGACAGCTAGCGAGCGGTTGGGAACGGACTTTCCAACGTCGACTGCCATCGGCCTTTGAGGGCTTCGCTATGAGCGCCCGCCTTCTACTTGAGGACTTCCATGGCAGCGTCATTTCACGATCCCAAGAACTGGGTGCCGATTACAACGGCATCAACATGCTGAGTACGCAGCTGCGAGCTCACACCGCCCGTCTCAGAGAGATCCCTGGGACACTTCGTACAGTCGTCCAAGAGTTGCAGCGTGAGGCCAGCCGCGGCTTCCAACCTGTTGTTCAGCGGGAAATGCAGCCGGCTTACGACGTTTGTGTCGCCGAGTCAGGTAAGCCAGGCTACCACTGCTTGTTTCCAGGTATCCGTCAACTAATTAACTACCAATAGGCCCTGGTTCTTACGCTCGCATGAAGAATCATATGGTCAGCCACGTCGAGACCTCCAGCGCTACTATGTTCCGCTACTCCACTGATAGCGTCAAGGAGCAGCTTGAGGCGTTATGCCGACGACTTCAGGACGAATTGA